CTATAGCTCATCAATCATGGCTAGCATATAAGTCGGAGTCACCTATAGTGACATGTACGACTTATCCATATCTCATCAATCATGGCCTTATCCATATCTCATCACATATCTCATCAATCATGGCTAGCATATAAGTCAGAGTCATCTATAGTGACCTGTACGACTTATACATATCTCATCACATATCTCATCAATCATGCTATCCAATAGCTCAATGAGTATACCTACACACGAGTCGGAACCACCTAAAGTGGTATGTACGACAAGACTGGATGTAAATAAATACACTCAAGTGCTACGATCACATGAAGACTATGCGAATAATCACGGGTCACCTAGGAGTCGGAACTACCTAAAGTGGTCTGTACGACAGGACTGTGCACCTACCTTGGATCCAAGGTGAGCGTAAGGTGCGGGAGGTGAACATCACATGAAGGACTATATCCTGGCCACAGGCGAGAGCACTAACACCGGGGTGGAGGTTTATGAGCTATAATATATCTCAACACAATCATACTCACTACCATCACTATCATCAACATGTACTCACCTGAAGCTTACCTGGGCATTCACGGCGTCATTTAGCACTTTAAAGCATTCACAATAGTTAGGTTTAGGTAATATCCATATGAATATGCCATGATGCAATCTAAACCCAAACATTTCATGATATTCCCAAAATATATAATACGGCGTAACATGTACAATTAATAACACCTACTCCCAAACTATTTACTTTTGAGAGTAATCATCAGTGATAAGCCCAATTAGACACTAGTTAAATTAACTATCATTACTTACCCTTCCTTACTTCAATTTCTTGATTCTTCACGCATTGATTTATGATCAACATTTAATCACCAAATCATAAAGATAAATCTCACACTTCCCACCATGTCCCTCACATTGCTCAATTCACTAAACAAGGCTATTGTCTCGATTATTTAATCTCATTTATTATATGGTTGCATCTAACGTCTTGTTAGACTGCCTACGTACCCTAAACAGGGATCAAGCCATTCGTAGTTCGCAATGATTAATTGTAGGTAACAAGCATAGATCACTTTAGAAGTGCTTGTGGAACTATCAATTATATGCCTATGAAAGAAAAAGACCCACTCACCTGGAGTCCACGCTATGATTATCTTGCACGTACATCAAGACATCACGATCTATCGTCGCCTACCACAAAGTCCAAAAGTGGACGAAAGGGGGTCAATTTTGCCCACAAAGCCGGCAGGTGCCTAAAATTTCCTGACATCGATTTGTCCTCTACGGTGGTCCAACGGGGTCAAGGTTGGTTGGGATTTTCTGCTGGGATGATGGGCTACAAAGTCCAAGTGGTGGCATCGGCCATTGCTTTGCCGATTTGCCGGGAATTTGAAAAAGGTGGTTGGAGTACTATTGATTTTCGTCGACTTTCGTGGCCTCAAACTGCCACATACGTGGTTAATCAAGGTGGTTCATGGGTGGATTTTGTAGAGGGGAATGAGAACTTCAAGATGGTGGTGGTGGCGTCGAAAATCTCCACCGAAGTTGGCCGGAATCGGCCTTGGAAAATGGGAGCTCGCGGTGGGTGTGGGCCGACGGGAAGGCTACTCCCCCCCTTTTTTTTTTCTTTTTTTCTTTTTTTCTTTTTTTTTCTTCTTCTTTTCTGATCTCTCATTGGTCCTCCATCCCTCTTAATTTGATTGGTCCCTTTTTCTCTTTACTTAAGGCTGATTAGTTAGTCTTCCCACAAGGTGGTAGTTCATGTTGGAAGTATGCCCACAAAGCCACTCATTTGATGTAATAGCTTTTTGGAATACTTATTGTGTTAAACTTTTATATGTTTAATAGAGGGCAAAGCTTATTGTTAATCACTATTTATAGTATCTTGTGTTTAAGCAATAAGGGAATCCAAGGAATGTATTTGATCTAATAGACAAGTGATTTAAGTTAGTTAAATTAACGGGACCTTTCTCTTATGTTCATTCCTAAAACGTTCCTAGCCATAGGATTGCCAATTGGGCATTGACAATCCGCTAAGGTTAGTATGTGTTATGTCGACTCAAGCGTGAGTATGAACTAGTCTCAAGTCATTTGGTGTTGGACACTAAGGCAAACACATAGGTGCTCGAAAGAGTAATCGAGTACACTGAACAACGATCAAACGAGAGTTCGAACATACATGTCATGTGAGAACTCAATAGTTGCAATATGCAAAGTAGTCCTTTGACCTGAGGCATCATTGATGTCTAATGGTTAGGTCCTTGATCTTTGATTATGTCAACGGCATTCCATTGGAGTGTCCACGGCATTGTTGGGGTCAAGCTATCTAGTCATGTAGGCATATAAATGCACAACAAGGGATCTCTAACCTTCCATGGTGGAAGGAGAATACTCTAAGATATGATTCGAGAGTCTTTGGCCAAAGCATATGAATATGACTAAGGAAGTTTGTTCCAAATCTTATTCAATTGAATCATATAGAGAAATATCACATTGGATAGTAGACATGAAACAAACTATCACTTAAACAATGTGATTAAGAGTATTGTATTAGAGAAGGACCGTATTGCATTGTAGTTGTAACTGGATAGGTTCTCCAACCACTTCTACTTAGCTTGGGTAACCATGACATGCTGCTAGGCGTCACCCATGGTTTGTGGAAGCCCTAAAGATTAGCAAACACTAATTTTAAGGGAGAATTGAAATGTGGTTTCAATTCACAATCGATCATTAAGAGTAACATCGCCCACTACCTCGCTAATTGGAACCTAATGGATCGTACACCGAGTAAGGATATAAGTGAAGAAATTATATGAAATGGATAAGCAATTAAATGGTTTAATTGAAGAATGGTCAAGATTAATTAAATAGTTAATTAATTATACGAAACGTTCGTATTGGGCGTTTAAGTTAGTTTTGGGCTTCGGAGCACAAAAACGTTTTGGTCCACAAGGCCCATTATGTTTAAGTTGTATGACAACTAAAACAAAATGGGCAATTAAGCCCAATAACAAATGGAGGCCGGCCATATCAAGGGTAGTGGGAACTTTTGCTTAATTGCAAGTTTGCCACTAACGTAAGAGATGAAGTATAAAGTCATCTTTATAGCTTTGTTTCTAATAAGGGTTTTCTAATTATTATTTGGGTGAAACATATTCTCTCATTTTCTACATAGAGGCCGGCCACTTAGGGGAGGAACATCTAGCAATCTTCTTCTTCCCTAAGTCATCCATTTCATCTTCACACTACATCTTTGGTGTGGAGACTTAGAGACACCAAACCTTTGGTGTTTTTGGAGAACAAATCCTCAAATCCTCAAATCCTCAAAGAAGAAAATGAGCACTAAAAGGGAGGAAATCACAAGGAAGATCCAAGGAGCAAGGAGGTGACTTGAAGGCCCTCCACTTGGGTGAATCCCTTGTGTAATCAAGGATGAGCTTCAAGGGTAAAGAATTTCTAAATTCTTATTCTCTTTAATATTGTTAAAGAGTCTTATGGTTCACCATATACTAGGCTTTGAAAGTCATGGGTTTTATGAATTGTTTTTGAATGCATGCCTACTTTAAAGTGTTATTAGTATGCCTATGTATTCAAATGTTCTTACATGTTCTTAGCTAGGACAAAATTTTTCCTTCAGTTCAAATAATTTAACTACCTTTAAATAACCAACTTCAAACGTCCGTAATTATACCGTTATAATTCAGACTCGCAAATGGCTTTCGCCTATGCGTTCGTAGTGGCAAGTACTACGAGGATATGCTTAAAGAATAAGTCATACGTCACTCTAACCGATGATCAACGGAAGTCAAAGTCCTTGCCTCTAGGTCATTTTCGTAAATTCGCACTTCTAAAATTAATAAAAAAGTAAAATTTGGGACAGGTTGTCACATCAACACACACTTTAAATACAACCAAAAAAGGCCTAAAACTAAAGGAGAAAAGAAAAAAGGCCCAACAATAGAGAGGCCCAGAAACTACACAACTTCCGCCATAAGCTTCCACTGCCATCTCCACCCTCTAAAACAGGTCCAACGGCCGATTCCCTTCCTCCTTCCAGTAACACCTCCACAGATGCCACCTCCAACCACAAGTTGCTACAAGAGCACAGCCATAAACAAGGTATAATCGGCAACCAAGTGAGCGAAGCCGACTATCAGAATGAAGTTCGTGGATACCCATAAACGACTCTGTCGAAACTGACAGATTACAAGGAGAAAGTGGTGGTGGTTGTACCACCCAAGCTAGAGCAACCGTCGGAACTCTACACACAATCTCATAAAGAAACATGGCTGACAATCGAATCGAAGAGAGGTAGGGAAGAGGTATACCTTCAAGAGTAGAGGAACAAGGGAGACCAGAGAGAAAAAATTGAGAATAGGTAACTGTAGAAGCAAGGAGAGAAGAAGTAAAAGAAAAAAAGAAAAGGCACGACAGCTGACCCTAGCCGAAGCTGGGGCCGATGCCACCGGAAAAACCCTAGATTGAAAGGCTTACAAGTAGTGAGAAATACTCTCAAGGAAGAGAGAGAACTTTCACCAAAGAGAGAAGATACCCGGAACGGAGTGTGTATGGTATCTTAACATGCTGACCAAATTGATTGAATTAAAACAAAAATTATATGAATTTCCAAATTTTGTTTTGTAATTTTTGGCTCCGGAAATTCAAATTTTAAAATTATGATCCGATCTGATTCGAAATTTTTTTGGATGATCTTGTTTCCCCAAAAATCACCCCAGGGCGTTTTGTGTTTAACTCAAACTTCAAACCTCAGCTTTTTATAATCTCATCTGGTCTAGTGTATCAGTACCATCATATTCAAGTTGGACATTTCTTTCTTCAACATATCTTGATTATAGCCGGCAAACGAGGCTGCAGGGTATTTATCGCTCTCTGCCAAAATGCATAAAAATTATCAAAAGGAGAGCATCAAGCAAAGGACTCAGGGATGCTTTTCTACTGAAAGGTTATCCATCAACAAGGAACACTGTCGCATCAACACCAACATCAAATCACGCACAAATTTTTTGCTTTTTTTTTTTTTTTTTTTTGAATTTTATTCATTGAAATACTTTCCTCTCGCCTACAGAGAAGAAGAAACAAACTGTCTGGGTAAACTAAAAAGATCCTCTCCTTCAAATGGCGAAGTCCACTCTCGGGAGACCGCGGCTGATGTTTCAACATTAGCAGCTCCATCCTGCAGTCCCACAAAAGAAATGCCATTCATGTTAGAGGAAGCCACTCTCATTCCAGGCTGAGCACCCAAACCAGTAGGCTTTGAATCATAAAAGTTGGGATTGCTCTTCATGGTAGTAGGCAGTCCTGTCCACAACCCGTTGGGCCTTGGTGCAGACAGACCTCTATCCAAACTCCAGTCAATGTTGGTGTAATCTATTTGTCCAGATGAGCCTCCACCAGCGTTCCAGTCTGCCGGAGAAGCTGCCCCTGATGAACCAACTGAACCTAACCCTGAGAAAAGTCCGAGGGAGGAAGCAGCACCAAGTGTTGGAGATGCACCTGCCCTACTCCATAGATTATTACCTCGGCTTGCTCCACGGGATTCAGCTGTGCTGCTTCCAGGAACAAACTGCTGCAGCTGCTGTTGTTGTTGATACTGAAACTGGTGATACATCTGATTTGAACTCAAATTACTAGGGCTGAGGCTTCTATTGCTAGGCATGTGGGGAATAAAACCATTGGACCTCATCATTTCGACACTAGTAGAAGGATACCAACTGGCAGCAGATCCAGGAGGCGATGAGCTCATACTAGTGGCAGGGACCTGCTTTATATTGACAGATTGAGGGCGCTGCATCATAATAACCGGTTCCCTTACTGTTAAAGGCGGAAGGTTCTTCATCTCACCCCCTAAAGCTACATAACGAGTTTCCATCTTAGCTGGTGGAGTTGATACCTGCAAAGGTGATGCCAAAGAATAGGAAACTGAAGGATTTGATCCTGAATTTGTCCACCTTCTCTCAGCCGGAACTGGTGTCGGTTGGGGTTTCATCCACTCCAACTTTGGCTGTCCTCTCTTCAGAGGCTGCATAGTTTTACTTGCAGATTCTAAAGACCCTCCAACTGCAGCTGCTTGTTTTGTGTAATTAAAGTCTTTGTCGTCTCTTCTTTGTTGGATAGTTGGAGGAGGACTAGGTTTTGTTTGTGGCCTCAAGTTCTGGCTAACAGCAATGGGAAGCTTGCCATTAGTAACTGTTGGAGGATCACCAATTTCTTCAGGCTTAGGTGATACAGAGGGTGGGTCTTGCTTTGACGCTCTTAAGCTTTCAGCAGCCTTCTGAAGGTCACCCTCACAGGATACAATAGCTCTTTCAACCTCTTGCTTTGAGCACTTGAACCGTGTTTCCAAATCAGCAATCCGGGAAAGTTCTTCTGATATGTCAATTTTCAAATTACCCCCACCAAAGTTTTGATCCCTTGGCTTATCTGTATCTTCACCACCTTCAAAAAGCCAAGCTACTGATTCCTCTACTCTGCCTTCATTCAGTATGAGAGCCATGGTTGCCCGTTCTTGTGAAAATCCCATTGCCACAAGCTGTTGAGCAAGTGCCTCAAGCTTTCTTGACATGATATAACCACTGCATCGTTCATGCAACTCCTGAGCTCGCCGCTCTTTCTGTCGCTGATGCTTCCTCTCATTCTTCTGACGGATTTTCTCTCGCTTGTCATTGTCAGCTCCTGGGACTGCTTCCTGCTTGGCAGGAGGATTAGATGTCTTGTCTTTATGGTCTTCCGACTCACCTGACCAGCTACCATTATTGGAAACAGAATCATACTCCACTCCTGTAGCAACAGAGCCCCCAGAATGGTCATCTGTTTCATCTATGTTGCGGAAACGACTATTACTGTGAAGAGGCGACACAGAAGGTGTTGGTGATAATTCAAGGGTATGGAAGGTTCCTAAAAGTGGATTGTATGCACTAGCTGGGACCCCACTACTTGCATTAGCAGGGCCCGTTGAAGGCTTTAAAGGTGTCTGCGTTTCTTTGATAGCCTTCTTGTCCTTAGACTTAGATCTGGACGATGCTGGAGACATCTCCTTGAAACTGGAAAGCAAGCAAACACAACAATTCCTGCAGCGTTTAAGATATAGGATGCATGTATTCAGTACAAAACCAAATTATATCTCCCAACATGTTGTTTCTAACAAAAATTATTCTGCGAAAGCAGCATTTCGATACCAAACCAAATTAAACCGTCATGCATATAATCAGAGAACTGCAGAATTTAGAGGTCCAGTTACACAATTCCCTAAACATTCAGGAAAAATTCCAACCAAACCCACATTTGCTTGGCGCAATTCAAGAACATTAAAAAATTAATAAATTGGCTAAAAAACCGAATCAAACCCAATGTCAATTTAAATTGGCAAAGCACGAATCACAATTCAAACGGTTCAAAACGTAAACAAAATCCAACCCAAAACACTCAACTAAGTCAAATTCCGATTTCTCGAACCAAACAATTACAAACCCAAATCAGAAAACGCCCCGAGCAATTCAATCACAGCAACAATTGAAACAAAAAGAACTGAAATTCGTAAAAGAGGAATTCAATCACAACAACAAACGGAGAGTGGCGAGAAATGATTTGGGGGAGCGTACCTCTGTGTGTTGGGTGATCGTCCTCGATCTCAAAAGGCGGTGGAATTTGGGTTTCTGGGTTGGAATGCAACAATCTGACGCAATTGTGTTCAATGATTAAGGCGAATCAGAGGCCCAGCGGGGGAGAGACGCAGCAGTTTGGGCGATGAGTTAGGGGCTTAGGGTTCGGATTTTTTTTTTTTTTTTTTTTTTTTTTTCGAGTTTCTGGTTTTTGGGCCAATAGAAATAGTTAGGGTTACAAGGATTGGGGAAATGATTTGGTGTTGGGCACCACAGCCACAACACCGGTTTCGTTGAAGTTTTTTTATTTTATATTTATTTTCCATTTTATATAAATATAACAAACTATCTGGTATTTTTATTTATTTTTGTTACAACAGAAACAGACTATTTAGTATTTTACCCAAACAACTTTTTTCTGCAGACTTTTATCAAATCCTATTATCTAGCTGGATTTTTCCCAAAATAAGCAAAACTAAAATTGTCACATCCACACCCAGGGGACCACTTCCCAGGCCCACTTCATACCGTAGCACGATATTGTCCGTTTTGAATCCCGACCAAGCCCTCACGGTTTTGTTTTTGAGAACTCACACAAGAACTTCCGATGGGTCACCCACCCTGGGACTGCTCTCGTGCGCTACTCGCTTAACTTCGGAGTTCCTACGGAACAAGAAGCCAATGAGCTCCCAAAAGGCCTCGTGCTAGGTAGAGATGAGAATATACATATAAGGATCACTCCCCTAGGCGATGTGGAATGTCACAAAAATCACAATTATTCTCTATCTATTAAAAAAAAATTGTTTTGTTGTAGTTAATATTATTTATGAGTGTGATTTTATAAATTTAGAAGTAGGATTCTAACAGAATTTGAGAGTCCAATCCCTTTATGACTTGTGTTATTTGTAGGGCAAATAAGGCTCATATGATTAATATAAATAAAGCCATGAGTCCACAAAAGAAAAGCTAGCAATTATAGACGAGCCAAGCTCCCTTTTTCTCTATTTTCTCTCTCTACATTTTCTTTCCACATGTTGAGTGTCTCTAATGAGAGGTTCATTCTAGAACAATGTGTAAACACGAATTTTCCTGTAACAAATGCAAGAACCCTTGTACAAAATAAAATTTTGTACTAATGAAAGTTTAGGTTACAACCTCTGATTGCAAAATTTGATCATCTAATTCGATCTCTGGGATGCAAAGTGTACGTGTAAGGTTGTTGATCCAAGGGTCGTAGTGATCACTTGATCTCGAATCCACAAGTGCCACAAAAATTTGGCTTGTGCCAATGGAGGAACCAGCATGTGTAGTGGTACTTGATGGTCCTTCACAAGTGTGGCGAAGACTACATAGAGCTTTTTGAACGTTCTGAGTGTGTAAAGTGCTTGAGAGTACAAGCATCTGAGTGAGGATGTATGTGTATCTCAAGGGGTTCTTTCTTTGTCTTGGAGCCTCGTATTTATAGGCTCTGTAAGTCTTGATTTTGGCTTGATTTGGTCTTGATTTTAGACTTGATTAATTGAAAAAAGAACCAAGACTTGATTTCAGCTTGTTCGTGATTTGACTTCACCAAATAATCCTTAATTTAATCAAATAATTTTTTATTTAAAATTAAATAAATCAGTTACATTTATCCTTAAGTTGACCATCCTTGATTTGGCTCTCTCCCCCGATTTGGCATTTCATTTGTTTTAAAATTAAATCAATTTGACACATCCCGACCCAATAACTCACAAGTTAAGAGGTCGATATGTGATGTCCGACACTAAGTTGATGATGTAACCCCATCGAAGGATGACGTCACAACGCCAACTTAATGAAGAAAGCCATAGTAAGGAATACATGATGTGAATAAATTTGAACCAAAATGTTCTTTATTAAATTCAAAAGTCAACTACCCTACAAAGCCTAAACATCCTCCCCACTTGGGGACATAAGTCAAGGGATACGATCCCATTATTATCACATTAATCCATAGCATGCAATAGTTCATACAACAGTTAACATAAAGTAGTAGTGCAATGCTATGCATAATTAAAAGTACGATCATGCAATGATTACAACTAGATAAAATAACAGAAAAAGTCATCACCCAAGTCTGTAAGTCAAAGCCTCACCGCCCAGCCCACTCGTGATTTCCAAATGTCTCCTTGTTCTCCCTAGGTCCTGAGGGGTCGAAAAACTAAGTGTGAGTGGATCAAGTTTATCTAGTCAAAATCATTTGAACATACTAACCCCCATTTTGAAATTGCATATATAGTTAAAAAAAAACTAAATATCTTAATACTACCATAATAGTAACAACGTTCATATCACAATGCCTGTCATATCAAAGAAAGTAATTCAATTAAACTCACAGTATAAATCAAATAGTATAGCAACCAGGTGAATTGGCGTCTACCTAATCCATGACTAGCATCTAGCCTCTACTAGAAATATCGATACTTGCAATAATCCTATGGCCGTAGCTAGCTATACTATATTAATAGATCACCATAGTCTCAGGATATCAATTAGATCATCAAAAAACCTAATATAGGTCTCAGATCCCTCACGCGCTGTCGTGCTCTGGCCACGCACCACCACGTGCCGTTGTGGTGGTGTCACATGCCAAGAAGATGCACCGTCATCATGTCACCATCGTTGACGAACGCACTGCCGTACTTGCCGCGATTCGGCAAGTAAGCATCAAACTTGATGTCTCCGGTGCCACGAGTTGGTCGCCGATAAGTTTAAACCAAGGTAAAGAACTATACCATTTCCGTTAGAAGATACTGTTATTTCTAACTAATCGATCGTTGCCACCGTCAAAGTTAACGGCGTCCACCATTTATCGTCGTAGAAATCTGAAAAAATCCTAGAACACAGCCAGGCTTAGTTTTAAGCTCAAATTCGACGGATTTCAAGTTTAAACTCATAAAAAATCATCCATAGGTCTAGGAACTTACCTAAACACAAATCCAAACGAATTTGAATGGATTGAACCTTAGACTCGTCAAGATCGTACTGGTGGACCTCGTCAAATTTTGGAAAATAAAGGTGAGCAAACAAGGTTAAAACCCCTCAATTCATACCCTCAGATTTTGGAAATTTTGCGAAGGGATGTGAGAATGAGTATATTTCAAGAAGATAATTCATCTCAAGGTTATACCCCAAGTCCACCAAGTCCATCACCAAATCAAGATGGTGGATATTATTATTAAGTTTATGTAGTTTATGAATTTTCGATTGTATTAAGTTTATGTGGTTCATTAATTGTCGTTTGTATTAAGTTTATGTACTTTATTAATTGTCATGTGTATTAATTATTGTTTCTATTAATCTAGATGCCTTCAATAATTATTGTTCTTATTATTCCACACTTTGATGTAGAATAGATGCCTTCAATAATTCAACCTCCATTCAATAATTTATCCAATGTACTACACAAAATACTTTGCGCAAGAAGACACTTAAATTTATTACTAGAAAATACCAACATAGTACATTTAAAATTATTACATAAATGCTCACCCAACATCATCAACGTTCACCTTTTTGGTGCCATACATGCTCAACCAAATCCTTGCGAAGTGTGTTCATGACCTTGAGGAGCTTGAATTCTATTTAAACGTCTCATATCCTCACTCAATGTGACCCTATCCTGTTGGGTCTCATCTGTGGTTTCAGCAAGATATTCAACATCTCTTGCAATAGCTCTCGCATGTGTTGGTTGGTCATCATCCACATCTTCATCTGAATCTTCTTCAATTTCGATGTACTCATCTACCACAATCATGTTGTGAAAAATTATGCACATCATCATGATTGAATGGAGGTCTTCGGTATGCCAAAATCCTGCAGGCCCTCTAATAATGACCCATTGAGCTTGTAGGATCCCGAATGCTCTTTCCACACCCTTCCTGTAAGACTCTTGCCTCTGCGAACGGTTGGTGAAAGTTGAAAGTTTGGTGAAAGTTGAACGATTGGTGAAAGTTGAAAGTTTGGTGAGTTTCATGTGTTGCTTTAGTGATTTTTCAATATTTATCGGAATTTAAATATTTTTAGATTAAAATGTTCATAAAATTAAATTACGATAGTCCACATAATTTTTTTTAAGTTAATTTAAGAAAACAATTAGCCTAAATTCATTCTTTAATAATCCCGAACTAAAATTTTAGGCCATAAGGGTTGAAGCAGAAAAGCTGTTTCTAGGCTAAAACCTAAATATTCTAGGCTAAATAGTTTTAGGTTTTAGGTCAGGGTTGGAGATGGTCTTAGAGGATTTGGCTCGTTTTTGGGCTAGAAACACCTCTAACTCGTCGAGTTTGACTAGACTTCTTCGTCGAAAACTAGAAACGAATAATACAGAGAAGGCAGAGGTTAAACACCTCTATTTTCAACTAAAAATTCACGTGCAAGAGTTGGAAATCGTACCTAAGGCTAATATGTGTCTAAATCAACCCATATCAAGCTAGAACTCAACAAGTTCATACTCGGAGTTCACCAAAATTTCTTCACCGAGAGGGGATTTCAAATACACCACCTTCAAGTCACTAGATTGCCATGCAATCCCACCATCATGTTCCTCATGTCACATGGATTCTAAATGTGATAGTTTTAGCTTGAATTTTTGGATGGAAAAGTGGGAATAGGTGGTGGTGGCTCTCAGTGACAAAGAGAGTGTAAAGAGAAAGGAAAATTAGAGAGAGAGAGAGAGAGAGTGAAGGTTGCAGAGTGGCAAGAAGAGAAAGGAGTAGGTTTATCCCACTTAGAGAAACTCCAGTGTGGGCTGGTGCTCAGGGGAAGGGGGATGAAATAGGGCCAGATAGCCCAGCCTTGAAGCTTCAGCGTGGGTAGCCCGAGAAAGAGTGGAGGCCCAAGCTCCGGGCCTATGAGGAATTGCCCGCCCGAGAGCCCGAGTGGATGTGACGCCAGGGCTGATGTCATCCTGGCGTTAACCTTTAAAACCAAAAGATGGCCAAAGCTCGTCGGAAAACCCCCTGAAAGCGACGGTATGAGTTGGAGTTCTTTGTTTTCGTTGATTTCGAAGTGGATTCAAGCATGCAAGCTCAAACCCATGGTCTAAGGGTCATGTGAAATCGTCATATGCCTTCAACTCAACCAAACCAACGGGGTTTAGCTGGGTTTGGCTTGGGAATCCTACAAACTTTGATGGGAAAACAGAGTAAGGAAATTTGTCCTTCAAATGCACTGAAAAGTACATGCATGCTAAGAATATTTACCAAAAACTCAAGGGAAAGTTTAAGAGTGAGAAATCTAGGCTTACCGTGGTCGAATGAGTGAAAG